ATATACACACATAGTTTTCCCCCTTTTAGTGTGGGTTCTTTTTCTTAGTCTTTTACAATAATGGTCCTATGCAGTATTTCTCCTTTTGTGACTAATTTCACTCAGCATAATGTCCTCAAGGTTTATCCATGTTATGTGGTGGCTTGCAGCTTCCTTGTTGTTCTTTTAAGTATAGTATTCAATTGTGTGCATATATTATGTATGTTGGATTTTAACTGATGCTTCCTCCACTTTGGAATGCCCATTTCCAGGGGGATCTAGAATGCCTGTTACTGGCAGAGAGCACAGGTAAAAGGCTCAGGAGACAGGCCCACCAACTTCTTGTCCAGCATCTATCACTGTCCCCATGCCCATCATTTGTTCTCACTCCTTCTTCACCTCCACCTCATTTCAATCACTTTGCCAAGTTGCTAGGCTCCAGGTTCATTTCATTATAGCAAATTCTATTTTTGGTTCTGTGCCTCCTACTTCCAAATTTCTACCCCTGAACGTTTGAGGGGCCCTGCGGTCACATTTTAAGATGCTTAGAGAACGTTAGCTTCAAATGGCTAATTTTGTCTTATTTGTTGAATTGAAAAGATGGTCCTGTTCCTTGTGCAAGCATTGTTTTTCTCAGCAGCCAGTGTCTCACAGGGTACAGTTCCTTCTGTGGCTGTGGCCTCTGACCAGTCACTAGCAGCACCACCTGCTACCCTGATTCCCAGAGGCCTCCCTCCCTTTCCACCTGGCTCCCCGCTGCCCTCCAGTTGACACTTTGAAATTGCTGCTGGCCTAGAACAGGGAGGGGCTGCCTGGGTGTAGGGTGCTCTGGAAATAGCCTTGGGGGTGGAGCTTGGCTCTGAAGCACATTGAGAAACGCTCTTAGGTGTTCATCAGCATTTATAGCCTGGTGCTACGCAGTCAGAGAAAGCAGACATCTTTGCTAGTCCCAGGAAGGCCCAGCTGCCCAGCGTATCGTATCCATCCCCCTGGGACTCTGCCTGGGTGTTTTCTCCCTCTTGGGACTCCACACTGGTGGTGCTGTGGGTTAAGTATTGGACTGCTAATTGAAAGGTTTGTTGTTATTGTCAGGTGCCATCGAGTCAGAACCGACTCATAGCGACCCCATGCACAGCAGAACGAAACAATGTCCGATCCTGGGCCAACCTCACTACCGCTGTCACACTTGAGTCCATCAATGATGCCACCTGGCCGATCCATCTCGTTGGGGGTCTTCCTCTTTTTCTCTGACCCTCCATCTTACCCAGCATGACATCCTTCTCCAGCGATTGTTTCCTCTGGACAATATGTCCAAAGTATGAGAGACGAAGCTTAGCCATCCTGGCCTCCAAGGAGCACTCTGGCTGCACTTGTTCCAAAACAGATCTATTGGTTCTTTTGGCAGTCCATGGCACTTTCAGTATTCTCCTCCAACACCACAACTCAAAGGCTCTGTGAAAGGCTAGCAAACCAAATTTACCAGCCACACTCCGAGGGAGAAAGACGAGTAGTCTGTTTCCATCAAGATTAGAAGTCTTAGAAACCTCAGGAAACAATTCTATGGGGTTATTAGGAATCAGAATCACCTTGACAGTAGTAGGTTTGCTTTTTGGGGGGGTGAGGTGGGGCGGGGTGGCTCCATCTACCATCTATCTGGAAGAACAGCGGACCCCTCACATCTGCCACCACTGGCAGCTCCTGTTCCCCCATTCAACACCTTTCCAGTTAATTAAAAGGTTCCAGAGCCAAGCCATGGGCAGCCAAGGGGTTACTGAAGCAGGTCCCCAGTAGCTGGAGGTTGAACTAAGACAGGCCCAAGTGTACCCTGGTTTGCAATGAAGTAATTTTCCTTCCCACTAGGTAAGCAGGTAACTAGTACTAGCTGGCTCTCCTGAGTCAGTGTCCTCAGATCCTGATGACCAGTAGAAACAGGCTGGCTGCAGACTGTGATGGTGACAGGCCTGGACAGCTCCTGACTGCCCCTGGGCTCCACTCTGCTCATAAAGGTCTAACCTGTAAGTTGCTCACTCTGTTTATAGCCAGAGCTTTAATAAAAACAGGCTCAAATGTGAGCAAGTATCAAAGAAAGGGGTATCTTAGCTGGCCCAGTGTTCTGCGGAGCATTTGATCATGGGCTGTGTCCTCGTCAGCTGTGGTAAGGAGCAGCAGCTTTCTTGCGTTGGCATTATGCCTTCATCTGTGGTCCCACCCAACAGCACCCATGCCTTATCTTACTGGGCCTGACCCTCTAGGTGGGAGAGTACAAAGAAGACCAGAGGTTAATTCAATGTTGCATTACCCACTAAGCAAAGTAAGCATGGGCTTGCTTGTGCTTACTTACTAATTTGTTGTGAAGAATTTGACATTTTTCACTACATCAATGACTACTTCTAGGTCTGGCTGGCACCTGTCTCTCTCCCAACCCCACTGCACCTTCCTACAGAGTCAAAACCTCTTTTCAAACGTACAATCCCCAACAGGGATGGAATACTCAGTAAGCAAGGTAAGCAGAGACTTACTAATCTGCAGAGAACAATTTCACATAGGTTTCAAAAAAACATGTAAAACTGTTCACTAGGATTAGTAAGCACAAGTAAGCCTGTGCTTACCTAGCTTTCTGGGTAACCCAACACAGGCACAAGCCACCAACTGGCTTGACTGGGAGATGGGAAAACTCTGCAAGTGTTCCTGAAGCCAGCTGGAGCTGCTCATCCTCCCACACAGAACCTGCCTGCCCTGCACAGGTGTTCAAGGGCCCACATCCTCTGAAACCACGGAGTTCAGTGCTGGGATGACCCTACCCCCCATGGCAGGACAGGGCATTGGTTAGGGATACCAACCAGTAAGAGTTTGAGCCAACGCCACCATTTACTTGCTGAGTGACCTGGTAAACTGACCACTCTTGTTTCTTCGTTTACAGGATTAATATGACCCCACTTCATAGAGCTGTCATGTGGATTAAACAAAATAATGAAGGTGTAGGCCTGCCCACATTAGCTATCACTCTCACTTCTCGGTTGTATAGGAGCCTAGTAGGGCCCTACATCTAGCCACAGTCCGAGGACAACCTGCTTTTCCATTTTGGTACCAAAGATTCAGACCTCTGTGTAGTTACTACTTCCCTGCCGTCTTCCAACCAAAGTGAAATGGAATGGAGATTTAAATCGCTAGACCTCCTGCAAATAGAATGATGGCACCTTAACTGTGGGCCCGTTTGTGTTACAAGTTTCCTGAGTTAATTTTCTTAAGTCAGCAGTTGATCCAGTGTCTCTCCTGGATTGTCTCTCCAGCTCCGCCCCACCTTTAAGAAGCTGAAATGTGCTTGGGCTGCCCATTGGCCCAGTGGCAGGCAGGAGTGGGGACCTCAGACCTGCTGCCGTGCTGATCACGAGGGTCCTCTGATATGGGAGCATGAATGCTGAGCTGGGACACAGAGATGGATGGAGGAGCCTGGCTGTGATGCTATCTGTGGGCTTTTCTTTACCCAAGAAAGGACTTTCTCAGATGGGTCAATCTTACCTGTGTTCTCCATAACTAGACAGGAGGAGCAAAAGCTAGGGGAGGCTGTCTGCACAGAGCTGAAGGTACTGAAGTGAGGGAGAAATGAGTTCCAAAGCCTCCAATGAGACCAGTGACTTGATTTATAACTAGTGCTTTATTAAAAGTTCTCCTAAGAGTAAAAGGAAATGTGACTCCGGACCAACAGAGCACACGACAGAGAGAGAGAGAGAGAGAGAGAGGTGGTGTTGTGGGACGTCCCTGACCTGTGCTCCAAGAGTCAAGCTCTGAGTCAGTCAAGCAGGGCCTGGGCCAACCCTTAAGGCAGACCAGGGTCCCTGTCCAGGGACGTCACTGCTCCTGGGTGCCCCAGGAGATGTAGTCTGGCCGCGTGGCTGCATGGTACTCATCGATGAGCTCCTGTACAACCTCCCTGGACGTGTCCAGTTCGTCAAAGTTCTCCTTGAAGATGTCCTCCTTGCGGAACTGCTCCAGGAAGGCCTCCCGTTTCCGCAACTTGTCGTACTGGCGACAGGTCCGCTCAAAGAGCTTAGGATATGCAGAGAGCAGGAGTCACAAAGAACTTCAAAGAACAATATGTCCCAGAGGGCAGAGGACCAAAGCCAGGCTATTTCCACAGTCAAAAGTCAGAGTAGGGGCAGCAGGGATGTGGACAGGTGAAACACAAGAAAGACACTGAGGGGACAGAAAAAGATGCAAATGTGAGACTCACTGAGGAGATACTGGTGTGGTTGGCCATCATGAGTCCGCTGACCCGGTGGGCTGAAGGCAGGTAGGGAGACTTCCTTGACAGGGCCACCTGGATGCTGGCTGGGCCCCAGGGGATGAAGTTCGCTAACTTGCGCTCCCGAATCCTCTGCAGGCTCTTGTGGACCTGGGGCAGACACAGCAGTGCTTGGGGCAGCCTCTCCTCTATTCCTGCAAGTTGCGGAGGTAGAAAGGACGGATCTCACCTACCTGGGTGGGGTCCACCTCTCCCTGGATGATATTGAGGATGGCGATGTAGCAGTGGTTGGTCTGGCGATCTCGGCCTGTGGAGACCATCACGTTCTTGGGCTGTAGCAGCCGCCTCATGACATCCAGAACCGTGGTCTTCCTCACACTGGCTACCTGAGGACACAGTGAGAAACGGGGACCATCCAGAGACCCCCAGACAGAACAGTCAGTCAACAGCAGTAGGACACTTCCTCTAGGGCGTGACTTTCGATGTAGGTCTGTCTACACTGAGCCTCTGCTGTAGGTACAGGGCTCTTGGCCCTCCTCAGCTCAGCCAAGTCAGACCCATGTGCAGAATTCTAAGCAGACCCCTGTGGAGCCCAGTCAGCCCTACAGGAAGCCAAAGGCAGAGGGAAGACAGAGAACCAGTCAGCAAGAAAGCCACCTGCTCTGCGCCAGTCCTGAGCCCAGAGCCTCTGGGGGCTACAGAAGGCAGCTTGTGGGGCAGCGGGGGAAGAGAAAGGCCAGGTTAGGGCCTGCTGGGTCCGGGCCCAGTCCAGCCTGGGCACTGAGGACCGCTCTTACCGACTGGTCTGTGGTGAGGGGAGTGTAGCCAGTCATGAGGAAGTGGAGCCTCGGTGTGGGGATGAGCGAGGCGATGAGGCCGATGAGGTCATTGTTCATGTAGCCAGGATAGCGCAGGGTGGTGGTGCTGGCTGACATGATGGTGGACACCTGGGGACAGGCAGGGTGTCCTGTCATGAGCCTCAGCTGGGGTGGGGCCTTCCCTTCCCTGATGGCCTTCTAGCAGTGAGGGTCCCAGTTCAGTGGGCTCAACAAGTGAGGGCTCACCAGCTGGTTGATCTGGGAGAAGGACGGGTTCTGGATGTGCAGGCGGTCTGTGGCAATCCGGTTCAGGGCCGTGTTGTCCAGCACCACCTGGGGGGCAGAGACAGCATCAGATTTATGGAAAAAAAAAGGAAAAAAACAGGAAAAAAAAAGGCTCTCTGTCTGAACCTGGGTTCTGAAGCTTAATTTCCTTTGAGCCTTATGGCCAGAAAGACCCATCAAAGAAGGACTTTCACAAGTTGGCTCATAAGATAAGACTTTTTAGATGCATGAAAAGGATAAAATAGACAGGAGTGGGCTGGGGTGAGTGGGACAAGGTAGAAATCAGGAGTCACCACACAGTCTGCGTTCTGAGTCAGCCTCTTGAGCGTGAGCAGCGAGTTATAGGGCTGCACCACCACGTCACTCATCTCGTCCTGGTTGGGAAACACCGAGTACGTCTGCACCAGCTTCTTGGGGTACCTGGTGGGGGTTGGGAGAAAAAGGTCAAGGCAACAGACTGGAGGTCTGGTGAACACGTGGCTCCCCACCAATCGTCTGGAAGCAGCTAAATCTGAACAGGGAAGCTTGGGTGGGGTAATGAGATGTGTAGAAAGGGAGACTTGATCTTTGGGAGTCTGGGCTATGAAGCGGAAAGGGCAGGGACATCTTAGGCTGTAAGGCTCCCCCTCCAAACCTGGCCACACTCCCTGGACCTTCATCTAGGACCTAGATTCTAGTCTTAGGCTCCAACCACTGAGAGTGTGACCAAGTTCTCATCATTGGGATTTCAGTTTCCTCATACAGGAACAAGCAGAAGAACCCTTTCCTGCCCCAGCAAAGGGAAAGGCATAATCGGAGGGCCTCTTGGTCACTAGGGTAACCAGGTTGAAGGCCCTGACTCCTCCCAATTCCCTAAACACGACTCACCTGTCATTAAGCCGCTCTAAGAGGTAGGAGCCCAGGCCAGAACCTGTCCCCCCAGCAATGGAGTGGCACAGCACAAAGCCCTGCATAGGGAAGGGACAGTCAGTGTCCAGGTACCGAACTTGGTGCAGTCCACAGTTCTTGGGACTTTGATCATCCCTCTCCCCTCTCCCTCGCCCCACACAGCTTACGAAGACTCTACCCTGTCTCCAGCAAGTTCTGGTGGGCCTGTGCCTAAGAAATAGGTGACTTCTAAAGGGATGCCAGCCTTCCCTGTCAGCTGACACCAGTACTCCTAAACACTCACCTCTAGACTGTCACTGCCATCTGCTTCCCGGTCTATGATGTCAAAAATGTCCTCATGGATCTTTTCTCCCTGTACAAACATGGGGAAAGTCAGTGGGATGCGACCAAGGGACAAGAAGACTGATTTCGCAACAGTCACCTGATTCTACACATGCACCCACAAGTCCTTTTCTGGAGCACAGCAGCCCTGCTTTTTGTGTGCATACAGACAATGCCAAACAGTGGTAATGAGCAGGTACAACCTACTTCGTCTGTCTGGGTTCGTATAGTAACTCTATTTCTACTTTTTAAAATATATTTTTGTTGTTGTTGTTAAGAATATGCACAGAACACATACCAATTTAACAGCTTCTACATGTGCAAGGTCAGTGGTTCAAACCCACTAGTCGCTTCTTAGAAACCTTATACAGAGACACTCTAAGTTGGAACTCATTTGACAGCACTTAACAACATGTACAACTAAGTGACAATTACATTCTCACTCTCATTTTCTAAGTTGTTCCTCCCCCATTAACAAAGACTCACTGCCCTTGAAGGTTCTTCGTTTTTTGAGACGATGTTGTCAATTTGATCCCATATAGATAGACCTTAAAAGAACATAATTCTCATGGGAGACATTCCTTACTACTTAAGCTAAACTATTGTTGGCTTTTAAGACTTCAGGAGATATTTTTGGTTTATTAAAGTTTAAAGATGGTCTCAGGACATTAGTTTCAGGGGCTCTGTCTCTATTTAATGAGTGGCTCTGGGCAGGTGGGCAGGTACTTAACTGCTCAATGCCTCAATTTCCTCAACTGTAAAATTAAGCTAATAATAGTTACACAGCCCCTTATCTAAGATCCTTAGGGCAGTTTTGGAATTCAGAATAGTTTAGATTTTCAGAAAAGCAATATAGTGTATATAATGTATACTAAGTAATATTCTCAGTGGGGGTCTGATAAATGTTAGTCATCAAATACATTAACATGTCTGAAGTGGAAGGTATAAGTATTAGTGATAGAAGCTGGAAAGAAACTGCAAAAACCAGTCTCCACTAAGAATTGATTTTCCTGCTAAATGAAAACACCTTATGATTTCAGAGCTGTTGGGATTCTGGAAAGGCAGAGAAGAGATTGTGGTCCTGTCATATTCAACTTAGAGGGTTGTTGGAAGGCTTAAATAAGTTAATATATGTAAAACTCTTAAAAGTCACAGCATTGGGACATAGCACTAGCAAGTGTAGGCACTTCACTGTATTATATATGCAGGGGTCTCTCCTTCCAGCACACATGATCTGGTTTAATCTTCCTCTGGAAGTCACAGGCCGGTGCTCACATAGGGAGGGAGAGAGTGAGGAGCTTGCTAAACCCATTGCTGTTGAGTTGACTGACTCCCAGCAACCCTATCTGGCAGAGCAGAATTGTTCTATAGGACTTTTAAGACACTTAACAACATCAGGAAGCAAATGGCCACATCCTTCTCTGGAGCTGCTGCTAGTTAGTGGGTTCTGGAAGCCGACCTTTCAGTTATGAGCCCCTTGTAGGCTCCAGGAAATAACAAACGACCTGGGAGAATCCGCTGGCCCAGTTGTTGCCAGCTCCTCCGCCATGCTCCGACAGGTAGATGTTCTCCGGGTTGTAGAGCTTGGCATAGGGGGAGTTGAGGATGGAGTGGATCACCCGGGGCTCCAGGTCCAGCAGTACTGCCCTCGGGATGTAGTGCTCATCATCTGCCTGTCAACGGGAGCCCAGGACACGCCCAATCAGCTGGGGCCGACCTGTCCTACCCTTCCCAAGACTGGCTCCTGCCAGCCCGCCCTCCTCAAGCCAGGAACCCTGGCCCCTCTGCGCAGCCGCTTTCCCAAGACCAGGCCCCTGCCCTTCCTTTCAGGGGCCCTGCCGGCCCTGGCCGAGTCGCTAGGGCACCTGATAGAAAAAGACGTCTTTGCGGTCAGTGCCTTCGGTGGCGAACTCCTCCACGATGCCCTCGGGGCTGATACCATGCTCGGCGCACAGCTGTTTCCAGAACTCGAACCCAACTAGGGGCGGGGGAGGAAGAAATAGGATATTTGGGTCTGGGCAGGTTCCAATTAGAACTAGGGGACCGGGTCCAGAGATAACTCTGGCCTTAAAACTCGGCCATGTCTGAGCAAGGGACTGTGAGAGTTGTTCGCCCGTGACTGGGATAGAGCGGGCCCCTCGGGGTTGGGCACCGGGCACTGGGACAGGGATGTCCCGCCTTTCCGAGAACTCCGAACTGGGGAAGGGAAGAAGAATCTAGGTTCCTACAGCGAGATCGCACGGAAGCTAAGGGACGTGGCTAGTGGAGAGGCCGGAGGGTCGCTCACTCTGATTGCCGCACTGGCCCAACTGTAGGGTGATGATTTCCCGCGGCATAGCTCCTCAGGCTTTTGCTAAGCAGCCACTGCTGACAAAACCAGCGCGCCGGTCAACAAAAAAGCCGCGCGTGACGTCGTAAGTGGCGCCGCATTCGGCTACAGAGCGACGCGCGAAGCTAACGCAATACGCGCCGCCGCAGTCGGCAACTGAGACGCAGGCCAGCACGTTCGCCGCGACGCATGCGCCAAACCTGCTCCGCCTCATAGAACGCTCTTGGTTCCAAATGAGAACTAATGTCTGACGCTGGTGTTTCATGATTGATTGTTGTTAAGTGCTGTAGAGTCAGTTCCGACCCATAGCGTCCCTGTATAGGGTTTCCAAGAAGCCACTGGTGAACTTGAACCACCGACCTTGGAGTTCAAACGACTTTGCAGTCTGTCGCATTGGCCCACAGCGCCACACCAGGACTCCTTGTTGTTAAGGGCCGTCGAGTCGGTTCCGACCCATAGCGACCCTGTATAGGGTTTCCGAGGCTATAAATCTTTACGGGAGCAGAAAGCCTCATCTTTCTCCCGCAGAGCGGCAAGGTTCACAGCCCGATTCCGTAACCACTATGCTACCAGGACTCCTTAGGCATCCAGTAATGTAGACTGCATGAAGCCCTGACGACGCAATGGTTAAGCGCTCGGCTGCAGTTCGAAAGCGCTCTGTGGGAGAAAGATGAGGCAGTCTACTTCCATAAAGCCTTGAAAACTCTATGGGGGCAGTTCTACACTGTCTGACTCCATTTGATGTTAAGTGCTATTAATCCCGACTCACAGCGACCCTGTATAGGGTTTCCGAGAAGCAGCTGGTCCACTTGATAGCAAACAACACAGATGGAGACGTGGTTGTTCCTCAATGTCATTCTCATCGTAGTAACCATATGATTGTATGATTCAAGATGGCTAGTACCAATCCATTTCAGCTTACTACTGCCTAGGGACTCCTGGTGTGGCGCTGTAAGATCAGCACTGGGATGTGAATCACAAGTCGGCAGTTCAAACCCACCAGCTGTTCCTCGGAAACCCTATACAGGATTGCTGTGAGTTGGAACTGACCGGACAGTCCTTAACAACAGCGTCGTCTAAGGTATCATCTTTATGTGTTCCTTTTCATTTTTAACGACTTCCAATTTTCCTAGATTCATGCTTCATATACGGTATACGATGTGCCATCAGATAAGCATTGGTCTGCGAACCACAAGGTCAGCGGTTCGAACCCACTAGCCGATCCGTGGGAGAAAAAAACGAAGCCTTCTGCTCCTAAAAGATGTAAAAAATCTGGGAAACCCTACGTTATTGTTGCTAAGTGACATCAAGTTGGTTCCGACTCATAGAGACCTTGTATAAGGTTTCCTAGAAGCAGCTGGAACCACCACCGACCTTGCTATTCAAACAACATTTCGGCCCACAGCATTAACCCACAATGCTACACCAGGATTCCTGGAAATCCTTTAAGGATCGCTGTGAATTGGCAGTTCAAGTTTACCAGCTGCTCCTCAGAAACTCTATACAGGGTCACTACGGGATCGGAACCGACTCAATGGCATTTAACAAAAATAACGTCCATATAGGCCTCACCAGATGGAATACACAAATGAAATTAACTACATCTGTGTGACGAAACAATGGAGAAGTTAAGTAAAGTCAGTGAGTATAAGGCCAGGGACAGGCTTTGGAATAGACCATCAATTGTTCTTATACAAGTTTAAGATGGAGCTGAAGGAAATTAAAACAAGTTCATGAAACTCAAAGTACAAATTTGAGTATATCTCTCCTGAATGTGTTAGGCTAGTTAGGTGCCATCAGGTCGGTTCCAACTCAAAGTAACCCTATGTAGAACAGAATGAAACACTGCCAGGCCTGGCACCATTCTCCCAACTGTTGTTTTAGAGACTGAATTTAAAGACGATCTAAAGAACAGATTCGACTCTAATGATTGAAGACCAGACGAGTTGTGGGATGACATCAACAACATCACATTGAATAAGCAAAAGATCATTAAAAAGACAGGAAAGAAAGAAAAGACCAAAATGAATGTCCGAAGAGACTCTGCAACTTGCTCTTGAAGTAAAGTAGCTAAAGCAAATGGAAGAAATGAAGACCTACAAGAGCTGAAAAGAAGACTTCAAAGGACAAAGACCTGGAGATAGAAACCAAACTAGAAGAACACACTCAGCATTTCTCAAGCTGAAAGAACTGAAGAAAAAAATTGAAGTGTTGAGTTGCAATATTGAAAGATTATATGGACAAAATATTGAATGATGCAATAAAAACAAAAGAAAATTGAAATGGGTCTGGTAAAAAGAGATGGGGAGGATTGTAATCATTACAATGAAACAAAATACGATAGGATGAATGTAAAGCTGATGCTCTCCCATGTAAACTATCATTCAATTCACAACAAAAACTTAAAAAAAAAAAGAAGAGATGGGGATAAGATTCTTACGATTCAATAATTACCACAACTAATTGCAACTGTCACAATTGTAAAGGTGGAAGTTTTATAACAAAAATGGGGGAGTAGTTAATCTTACAGTCCAGAAACAGAGGACCCTAGGACCATCAAGGGAGAAGAGCACAAGTGGAATGCAAGACCTTATCCAGAAAAGTAGCAACACCACAAATGGAGGCCGAGATGGGGACATGGAGAGGGGGAACAGCTGAGGACTCTAGAGTCATGAAAAGAGAGGAACTGAGAGCTGGTGGCCAGGAGGCAGACTTGCAGAGTGTGCCCTTTGGTGGTGTAAATTATTATATATGCCAGAGTGTTTAAAAAAAAAAAAAAGAGCTAAAATGAATAGAGAGAAATACTGTTAACTGATGGTACATGGAGAGGATTGTAATCATTGTGATGAAACAAAGTATGTGATTTGTTGAATGTAGAGCTGATGATCTGCCCTGTAAACTTTCACTCAATTCACAATAAAAACTCTAAGAAAAAGAAAGAAAATGGAAGGAACACACAGAGTCATTGTACCAAAAAGAACTGGTTGACATTCAAGCATTTTAAGAGGTAGCATATGATCAAGAACCGATAGTATAGAAGGAAGAATTCCAAGCTGCATTGAAGGCACTGGTGATAACAAGGTTTCAGAAATTGACAGAATACCAATGGAAATGTTTCAACAAGCTGATGCATCACTGGAAGCACTCAGTCTAAGCCAAGAAATTTGGAAGACAGCTACTTGGCCAACCAACTGAAAGAGGTCTATATTTGTGCCTATTCCAAAGAAAGGTATTTCAACAGAATGTGGTAATTATCAAACAATATCATCAATATTACATGCAAATGAAATTTTGTTAAAGATAATTTAAAAACAGTTGCAACGGTACAACTGCCAAAATTGAAGCAGGATTCAGAAGAGGATATGGGACAAGGGAAAACATTGCTAATGTTAGATGGTTCTTGGCTGAACACAGAGAATAACAAAAAAATTTCTACCTGTGTTTTATTGATAATGCCAAGGCATTTGACAGTGTGAATCATAACAAATTATGGATAACATTGAGAAGAATGGGAATTTCAGAATATCTGATTGTGCTCTAAAAAGGAGCTCTGGTAGCGCAGTAGTTACGAATCGGGCTGCGAACAGCAAGGTCAGCAGTTCGAAACTACCAGCTGCTCCGTGGGAGAAAGATGAGGCTTTCTGTTCCCGTAAACAGCCTTGGAAACCCTGTTCAGGGTCACTATGGGTCAGAACCGACTTGACAGCACTTAACAACATCAATTATGCTCATGTGTAACCTATACATAGGCCAAGAGGTAGTTGCTCGAACAGCACATGGTATAAAATCAGGAAAGGTGTGTATCAGAGTTGTATCCTTTCACCATAGCTGTGTGTGTGTGTGTGTGTGTGTGTGAGTTGAGTGAAGGTTTACAGAGCAGATCATCAGTTTTACATTCAACAGGTCATATGCTTTGTTTCATTACAATGATTACAGTCCCCTCCATGTAACACCAGTTAACAGTGTTTAACTTTATTCACTTTAACTCTTGAACTCCTGTGTCTCACCATACCTTTTTTTTTTTTTTTTTAATGTTTTATTGTGAATTATGTGATAGCTTACATGGCAGAACATTAGTTTTACATTCATCCTATCTTATATCATTTCATTGCCATGGTTACAATTCCCTCCATGCATCATCAACCAACCAAAGGGTATACCCTACAAGCCTGCCCGCTGGTCATCAGCACACAGCCCCCCTCCCTTCTCTGTGTCTAAAGTCCCCAGCTACTCCATCTCTCCACGTTATCATCTCTGCCTCCATCTCAGGCATCACTGCTTCCCTGGGTAGAGTCCCACTCTCCACTCTTCTCCCTTGATGGCCCCAGGGACTCACCACACTTTTTTTTTAAATTAATTAATTAATTAATTTTTATTTATTGTGAATTATGTGATAGTTTACATAGGAGAACATTAGTTTTACATTAATTCTATCATATATCGTCTCTCATTGCCATGGTTACAATCCCCTCCATGCAGTCCC